AGTCGTGATTGTGGAAGTCTCTGTTGTTGTTGTTTCTGCTGCACTCGTGGTGGATATTTCCGCAGCAGTTGTGATTTTGGAAGTCTCTGTTGTTGTAGATGTTTCTGTTGCACTAGTAGTGGATGTTTCAGCAAAAGTCGTGATTGTGGAAGTTTCTGTTGTTGTTTCTGCTGCACTCGTGGTGGATATTTCAGCAGGAGTCGTGATTGAGGAAGTCTCTGTTTTTGTAGATGTTTCTGATGCACTAGTGGTGGATATTTCATCAGGAGTTGTGATTGTGGTGGGCTCTGTTGTTATAGGTGTTTCTGCTGCACTAGTGGCCGATGTTTCAGTCACAGTTGTTGTGATTGTGGAGGGCTCTGTTGTTGCTGTAGATGTTGCAGCAGGAGTTGTTGTGGTTGATAGGTATTCTGTTGTTGGTTCATAAAAAAATCAGTTTAGAAGGCACTCACAAAAGTAACGACAAAAGAAAACAATTGTGTGTACATTTTGTATGTAGGTTTTTACAGAATATTTATGAAAAAACAAAGTTTATGTAAAACCATGTCTAATCTGACCATTTTTCCAATCAGTACAATGTCTCACATATATACAATACAAGGTTTTTTCAAACATTTTGCTTTTAATACGTTGTCATACATACCTGTATCATTAACTGAGAAAGAAGTTATGTTCAGGGCATTGAGATTTGTTTCGTCACTCAGTAATGCTTCTGCAATTTGGAGTTCTGATGGGACATTCTGTGTAGAGTTGAAAGCGAGTTCTGATCTTGTAATGACCGATCCCTTGCTGAAATACATTTTTTAGAAATACTGTCATATTGGAATTATTTCTTTATGTCCCCAACTAACTAATAAAGGCCTTAATCGCTTGTATGTGTTATCTCTCAGAGTTGAAAACACAAAGGCATTATATTTAAAATTATCAGCATTGAAGTATTCAGTATTTACCTGAATTGTAGTACAGTGACTCTAAGGAAGGAATGAAACTTCTTGAAAATAAGTGCAAGCTGTAACAAAATACAGACAGATACAATGAACTCTTATAAAACTATTAGAAACTTAAAGTATTTATGATTAAATGGAATTGTTGTGAATTCATTAAAGGATTATATAGTGAAGACAGTGTGAACTCACAATATCCTGAACAAGCTTTGCCCTGTTTTTGAAAGCAGGAGTCTGTGGTTCCTTGAGGTCATCTATAAATGAATCTTTAGAGCGGAACTCCAGCTTTATTTTCACTTCATATACTGGCTCTGTTGTTGTAGATGTTTCAGCTGCACTAGTGGTGGATGTTTC